GGTTCAGTCTATATGCATTGTCTATGGTTCTTAGGTTCAGTCTATTTGCATTGTCTATGGTTCTTATGTTTGGTCTATATGCATTGTCTATGGTTCTTAGGTTCAGTCTATATGCATTGTCTATGGTTCTTAAGTTTGGTCTATATGCATTGTCTATGGTTCTTAGGTTCAATCTATATGCATTGTCTATGGTTCTTAGATATAGGCTATGTGTATTGCCTATGGTTTTAAGGTATAGTCTATATGTATTGTTTATGGTTCTAAGTTATAGGCTATATGCATTGTCTATGGTTCCAAGTTATAGGCTATATGTATTGTCTATGGTTCTTAGGTAGAGTCTATTTGCATTGTCTAAGATTCTCAGATATGGTCCATATGCATTGTCTATGGTTCTTACGTTCGGTCTATATGCATTGTCTATGGTTCTTAGGTTCAGTCTATATGCATTGTCTATGGTTCTTATGTTCAATTTATATGTATTGTCTATGGTGCTTAGGTACAGTCTGTATGGATTGTCTATAGTTCTTAGATATAGGCTATATGTATTGTCTATGGTTCTTAGGTATAGTCTATATGCATTGTCCATGGTTCTTAGGTTCAGTCTATATGTTTTGTTGATGGTTCTTAGGTACAGTCTATTTGTATTGTCTATGGTTCTTAGGTTTAGTCTACGTGTATTGTCTATTGTTCTTAGGTATATAGATATAGGAAGATGTGTTCCAATGAGACAACTCTCCATCCAAGTAACAATTTATAAAAGTAAACCATTATAGGTCAAAGTACGGCCTTCAACACGGAACTAAATGGTTCTTAGATATAGGCTTCATGTATTGTCTATGGTTCTTAGGTTCAGTCTGTATGTATATTCTATGGTTCTTAGATATAGGCTACATGTATTGTCTATGGTTATTAGGTACAGTCTATATACATATATTATGTGTTGTCTATAGTTCTTAGGTTCAGTCCATATGTATTGTCTATGGTTCTTAGGTAGAGTCTATATGTATTGTCTATGGTTCTTAGGTTCCATCTTCAGTCAAGGATATAACTCTATAGGATTATTAGAGAAAAATAACATATATTTGTTATTGTGGACTAAAAAATCAAAGAACTGTGATAACATATGTTTGTTACATGTTTCAAAGGGACAATATACATAATTAGTTTTGTTAAAATGTTTACAAGTTCTATCGATATTACTCTTGTCCTATGTATACACAACTATAGAAAGATATAACAGTTCATAGTTTGCCAAACATGCATAGTACATCTATGTAACTTGTACAGAAAAAATATGCCTGTAATGCCTGTAATAACTATTTAAAAGGGTGTTATTACAGCTTCTCTACATCACTCCAAAGCATTTGCTCAGACATACATCAGGCTTAATTACAATGTCTTTTTAGTTTATTGTAAGAAATAAGGATCAGAGCATGTAATGAGGTTCTCTGTAAGCTTCCCAGTAATTCCCAAGTGTCTCATATAATAAGTCACATGCTTTTAATATCTAAGCCTTGTTATTACAGCTAAGTGTATCCCTTAAAAGCCTCATCACATTGATTTTATATGGTTTATGAAAATTCAAAAATCACTTTTCAAGGCTATGCATTTAGTTTTTCCACAAAGTTTCAAGAGTTCCCTAGAGCCCACTAAATATTAAAATGTTTATGGTTTCTTTTACTTATCACAAACATATGTTCTCACAGATTTAGACAATTAAAGGATTAAAGAGTAGACAACTCATGAAAGTATCTGTAATAACACATGTAAGATATTTTCTGGAATAACCCTGTAGAGTTATATGCCTGACTGGTCTATATGTATTGTCTTTGGGTCTAGATAAAGGATATATGTATAATGTATTGTCTTTGAGTCTAGATAAAGGATATATGTATTATGTTTGTCTATGGTTCTTAGGTTCAGTCTATATGTACTATGTATTGTCTATGGTTCTTAGGTTCAGTCTATATGTATTGTCTGTGGTTCTTAGGTAGAGTCTATATGTATAGTTTAGGGTTCTTAGGTTTAGTTTATATGTATTGTCTATGGTTCTTAGATAAAGGATATATGCATGATATGTTTTGTCTATGGTTTTTAGGTTCAGTCTATATGTATTATGTATTGTCTATGGTTCTTAGGTTCAGTCTATATGTATTATGTATTGTCTATGGTTCTTAGGTACAGTCTATATGTATTGTCTGTGGTTCTTAGGTAGAGTATATATGTATAGTCTATGGTTCTTAGGTTTAGTTTATACGTATTATCTATTGTTCTTATATAAAGGATATATGCATGATATGTTTTGTCTATTGTTCTTAGTTTCAGTCTATATGTATTATGTATTGTCTATGGTTCTTAGGTTCAGTCTATATGTATTGTCTATGGTTCTTAGATAAAGGATATATGCATGATATGTTTTGTCTATGGTTCTTAGGTTCAGTCTGTATGTATTATGTATTGTCTATGGTTCTTAGGTTCAGTCTATATTTATTATGTATTGTCTATGGTTCTTAGGTTCAGTCTATATGTATTATGTATTGTCTATGGTTCTTAGGTACAGTCTATATGTATTGTCTGTGGTTCTTAGGTAGAGTATATATGTATAGTCTATGGTTCTTAGGTTTAGTTTATACGTATTATCTATTGTTCTTATATAAAGGATATATGCATGATATGTTTTGTCTATGGTTCTTAGTTTCAGTCTATATGTATTATGTATTGTCTATGGTTCTTAGGTTCAGTCTATATGTATTGTCTATGGTTCTTAGATAAAGGATATATGCATGATATGTTTTGTCTATGGTTCTTAGGTTCAGTCTATATGTATTATGTATTGTCTATGGTTCTTAGGTTCAGTCTATATGTATTATGTATTGTCTATGGTTCTTAGGTAGAGTCTATATGTATTGTCTGTGGTTCTTAGGTAGAGTATATATGTATAGTCTATGGTTCTTAGGTTTAGTTTATATGTATTATCTATTGTTCGTATATAAAGGATATATGCATGATATGTTTTGTCTATGGTTCTTAGTTTCAGTCTATATGTTTAGTATATTGTTGTTAGAAATAGGCTGTATATATTGTCTATAATTCTTAGATATAAGCTTATTATGTTGTCTATGGTGTTTAAGTATAGTCGACACTATATATGTATTTTCTATGGTTCTTAGATATAGGCTTTATATATTTTTCTATGGTTCTTATATTGAGGGTATATGTATTGTTTATGATTCTTAGGTTTATGTTATAAGTTTTGTCTATATGGTTCTTACGTACAGTCTATATGACATGTATGTATTGTTTTGTTGATATGGTTCTTAGGTACAGGTTTGATATAAGTATTGCAATTACATTGCAGTGATCAAACTATTTAACTATTTAATGATCAACCTATTTAATAACATGATCATGAATTTTTAGGGCAGAAATCAAAACTATTGGCATGATTAAACAAGGTTATAAAAGACAATAATTAACCAATCAATTTGAAGTGATGATTAAACCCTGTAATCACATTATCATCAAAGGCAGATTTTGAGGGAGCAGGGAGCTTCATATATGATAAATGTATAGACTTTATAAACGTATTGCTCTAAATGTTGGTTTACCATAGGGCATCTACCCCTTTTTCAAAATCCTGGATCATGTACAATAAGGGGAATAATCAAATGATTAACATGATCAAAGTGTGATATAACATTATCTAATCTATCATGAATATCAAGGGCAACAATCAAACCTTACATTAGATAATTATAAATACTAAGGGCAATAATCAAAAATATGTAATCAGATAATCATGAAAAGTAAGGGAAATAATCAAATGATCATCACGGTCAAACTGTGTAATCAGATAATCATGAATTTTGATGGCAATAATCAAACAATCATCATGGCCTAACTGTTTAATCATGATTATCAAGGGCAATAATCAGACGATCATCAAGGCCTAACTGTTTAGTCATATGATCATGATTATCAAGGGAAATAATCAGACGATCATCACAGCCTAACTGTTTATTCATATGGTTATGAATACTAAGGGCAATAATCAAACAATCATCATGGCCTAACTGTTTAATCATATGATACTGATTATCAAGGGCAATTATCAGACGATCATCACGGCCGAACTGTTTAATCAAATGATCAAGATTATCAAGGGCAATAATCAGACAATGATCACAGCCGAACTGTTTAATCATATGATCATGATTATAATGGGCAATAATCAGACGATCATCAAAGCCTAACTGTTTAATCATATGGTTATGAATACTAATTAAGTGGGTCTAATTAGGGTCTAAGCGTGACCGGGTATTGGCTGATTTTTTTTAAGCATGACACGTGATGGTCGAATAATTAAGCGTAAAAACAGGAAACGAAGTCCGGCAGGACACAGGAAATAACATGCGCTATTATGGCAATGAGAAGAGGGATACGGGATTCTCACTAAACAATAAGTGGGATCCAGGATCAGAACCCCCCCCCCCCCCCCCCCCCCCAAAAAAAATGAGACCCCCTATACTAAGGGCAATAATAAAAAAAATCATAGGGCACAACTGTGTAAACATATAATAATGAATATGAGTATCTCTTACTATCAACATGATCACACCACTCATTAGTTATACTTATAGACTTATACTGAGAACTTTTAAGTTTATAAATCCCAGGTTGGACCAAATCCTGATATTTTGGCCTTAATGTTTAAAACAAAGGTATGTTTGTTATTTGGTCGTAAACATGCAATTTTTGTTTTAGTGTTTACCCTTTTCCGCATCTTTAGGACTTCTTGCCCGTCAATTAACAGCAGTATAAATATAACGTGAAATCGAAACAGAAAGTACACTTCGGAAACTCTTTTTTTCGTAGAATAAATCCGAGTTACATTGAGAACCAATCGTATGATAGATAACAAAAATGAAAAATAAATAAGCCAATCAGAGCGTGGTCCATATCGTGGTTTTTAGATCGTAAGAACCCCAACTATTATACCTCAAAATACGTTCAACTTCAAGATGATGGAATTAAACCTATCTCGAGTTGATTACCTCCAGGTTGAATTTCATTTTACTGCATGATAACATGTCAATCATTCTTTTATGTTGAAATGACATTTTATTCATACATTAAGGCTGAAAAAGCCTGCACTCAAACCTAACTCAAAGATCATGCTTGACAGGCTTCTGCCGTTTGGTGGCTGCCATCATTTCTGATTATTCTGCAGGCTATTCTGTATATTCCACCTTTATCAGATGAACCACTTCTTGAATTCTTGAAGTATTGATTCCCTAACTTTAATAGACAATAGACAATATTTATTAGCACAAACACATTTACATTAAATGGTTATGCAACTTATGGCATACAGTATTGAGACAATAAACTGACAATAGTTAAATTGACTATAATTATATTAGAGTGACAGTGGTATTCACAGGGGGGAAAAAAGACCATAAATATGTGTGTATCGACAGTTAACACATCATTAATGTTCATGATCAAAAAACAAAAACAAAAATTAGGATACATATTAAAAGAAATATAAGTTATACAGATGTTCTCAATAAAAAACAATCATTAATATACTTTATGGTGATTTTTATAATGACTGGCAGACTGCTATTTAAAAGTGCGGTCATATGCCTCAGTGTTATAGCTGACTGCAATTTAATAAAATTGAAATTAAGATTTTTATTAATATTTTGTATATAGGTGTCCCTCAATGATATATATATTGGACAGACTGAGAAGAAATGGTATTCATCCTCAATTTCTTGTCTATTACAGGATAACTTAAGCAAATGCGTTTACTTCTTTCGATGTTGGTATAACGCGCCTTTCAATTGCTAGGGAATGGGCACTGAGTTTAAGTTAACTGAAAATTGATCTGTCAGTTTTGAATTGACATATATCAATATACGGGGGCCTTTTTCCAATTTTTTTAGTCTTACAAAAGTCACTGTAACAGTTCTAGAGTTATGCCGCTTTATCATGTTTATAAATGGAAAAATTGCAAAATTTTTAGTTTCCGTTCTCTTACTTTAGTTTGCCTCAACCAAATGTTATGAAACTTATACACAATGCTTATTACCACAAAATACAGATCAAGATTGAATTTTGGTAGCGTCACTCTAACCGTTCTAGAGTTATGCCCTTCATAAATGGAAAAATTGCAATTTTTTTAGTTTCATTCTCTAACTTAAGTTTGCCTCTACCAAATTTTATGAAACATATACACAATGCTTATTACCACAAAATAAAGATCAAGTTTGAATTTTGGTGGGGTCACTTTAATCATTCTCCATTTATGCCCCTTTATAAATGGAAAAAAATGCAAAATTTTTAGTTTCCTTTCTCTAACTTAAGTTGCCTCAACCAAATGTTATGAAACTTATACACAATGCTTTTTACCACAAAACACAGATCAAGTTGAATTTTGGTAGCGTCACTTTAATCATTATCGAGTTATGCCCCTTTATAAATTGAAAAATTGCAAAATATTTAGTTTCCGTTCTGTAACTTAAGTTTGCCCCAACTAAACATTATGAAACCTATACACAATACTTATTACCTTAAAACTCAGATCAAGTACAAATTTGGGTAGCATCACTTTTATCGTTCTTGAGTTATGTCCCTGTATAATGTTGTATGCAAGCAGGGGCATCATCTGTGTCCATTGGGACACATTCTCCATTTATTTTCTAATACTATATGCAATAGGTCAACTATATTTGGTGTATGGAAATATTATATGATGTACATGTCAGTCTCGCAGGTTTTATTTGACCTTGAATTCATTTTCACGATTCATTTCTCATTGTTAAGTTTTTATACGCTCGCAAAAAAATTTTGCGGTCGTATATTGGTATGACGTTGGCGTCGCTGTCGTCGTCCGAAGACACATTGGTTTTTGCACTCTAACTTTAGTTTAAGTGAATGGATCTCTATGAAATTTTACCATGAGGTTCAATACCACAAAATTTAAAGGAAGGTTGGGATTGATTTTGGGGGTTATGGTACCAACAGTTAAGGAATTAGGGGGCCAAAAAGGGGCCAAAAATAAGCATTTTTGTAACTTCCAGACATAATTTGTGTGTTAGTGTATGGATCTCTCTGACATTGTACCACAAGGTTCCATATCACAAAGGGAATGCTGGGATTGATTTTGGGGGTAATTGCCTCAAAATTTTAGGAATTAGGGGCAAAAAAATGGGCAAAAAACAAGCATTTTTCTAGTTTCATGACAATAACTTGTGTGTAAGTGTATGGATCTTTCTGAAATTGTACTACAAGGTTCCATATCACAAAGGGAAAGCTGGAATTGAGTTTGGGGGTAATTGCCCAAAACGTTTAGGAATAAGGTGCCAAAAATAAGCATTTTTCTAGTTTCCAGACAATAACTTGTGTTCAAGTGTATGGATCTCTCTGAAATTGTACTGCAAGGTACCATACCACAAAGGAAAGGCTGGGATTGATTTTGGGGGTAATTGTCTCAAAATTGTAGGAATTAGGGGCCAAAAAGGGGCAAAAAACAAGCATTTTTCTAGTTTCAGGACAATAACTTGTGTGTAAGTGTATGGATCTTTATGAAATTGTACTACAAGGTTCCATATCACAAAGGGAAAGTTGGGTTTGAGTTTGGGGGTGATGAATCATAAGAGGGTTCAAAAAATTGGGGGGGGGGGGATTTTTTTTTCCTTTTTTTTTCTTTAAAATTTTCCATTTTAAATTGGTTATTTCTGATTTATATATAAGAGCAAATAATAATGATATGGTTTGAATAGGTAAATTAAAAATTTTTAAGTTCTTAGACCACATTCATTCTGTGTCAGAAACCTGTGCTGTGTCAAATATTTAATCACAATCCAAATTCAGTGCTATATCAAGCTTGAATGTTGTGTCCATACTTGCCCCAACTGTTCAGGGTTCGACCTCTGGGGTCGTATCAAGCTGTGCCCAGTGGAGCATTTTATTGTGTTTTGGTCCGTTTTTCTTCAACTATAAGCAATAGATCAACTATATTTGTTGTATGGCAGGATTGTAAGGTGTATATGTCTGTCTGACAGGTATCATCAGACTTTGACCTCATTTTCATGGTTCATTGGTCAATGTTAAGTTTTCTTGGTTAAGACTGTTTCTTAGTAACTATAAGCAATAGGTCAACTATGTTTGGTTTATTGAATGATTGTAAAGTGTACATGTATTTCTCGTTTGATTTATCTGACCTTGACCTCATTTTCTTGGATCATGTTAAGTTTATGTGTTCCTTGTAGTAAAGCTTTATATTTAGGACTATCATTATAAAAAAAAAATGGGTAGTAAAGAAGGGAAGACATTTCAGCGTGTGCACTCATGTTGTTTTTGGTTTCAAACATTTATAAGTGAAGAATATTCAAAGATATTTCACTAGTAGCTGTCATTTTGGTTCAATTTTGTCGAAATAAGCTCAAAAACATTGCAAATGTATTATTGGCTTGCACATCAATAGTTCAACTCATTTGAATCTGTATTTATACAACCTTTAATTTTACCCCATTTAGGCATGTGCTAACCTTGTTCAATAATTAAAAAGAAAAGAATGTCAACATTGAAAAGTGAATCAAGGGTGCCACCACGATAAACCATTTTGTTGACTTATTCGTACTACACAAAATCATTCATATATAGGTAAAACAATGATTTACATTTTTTTAGAAATCTATAACATGAAATCTAACAGACCCAGACTTTTTGTAATTTGTATAAATATGTTTTTTTTTTTTAAAGTATGCTATAAATCAAATCTGTGATCATGAATTTGACAGCTAATGGGGCAGGGTTATTTGGTCATCATATTATGCAGATTGTCCAGTCATATCAGAATCTATATTTTGTTTATTGACAGTGTATATGTAACGTATGCCAAATAACTATCTGTTATTATTTTATTTACAGGTTGGAGTAACATCACAAAAAACAACAAAGTTACTACCTGGAGGCAAAACACAAAGGGTGAGTTTATCATTTACATTTAGAAGAATCTGCAGAGTTCTCACTAAGGTTTTTTTAAGATGATTCAATTGAGACATATTGTTTTGGCTATGGCAAGTCCAAAGTTCTGAAGTTTAACAATATTATGAATATGAGATGTGGGGTTGATATAAAATAAGGAGATGTAGTATGATTGCCAATGAGACAACTATCCACAGGATACTGAAAGATTGGAACAGACTGGGAGCTGTTTTCTTATTAAAGTACATATGTACTTTATCAGATCTTAACCTTTCTGCTTTTATTATGTTGACATAAATACCAACAAAAAAAAGAGAAAACTTATAAGTAGGGGCAGAGTTCCTACTTCCAGTAGTACATGTTAATTAATTACTGAATGCTTTTTTTTATTTTGCTGTAGATTGTAGTTGGTGATCAAGATGGATTGTTACAATGTCTTCAGATGAAAAAAGGAGATGCTCAGGTATGATAGAAAGCTTTATGATCATGGTGATATTAAAAATATTTTATGGAAATTGTGTGAGGTTCAGTATAACATTATTACATTTGTTTGATATAGACTTCTGGAGCTGTCAAAAGAAAGACTTGTTTTATTAGTATTCAACAGTGTATATAGATGCACAGAGTGTTCAATTTAATCAATGGGATGATGGATTCCAACAATGAACTAATTACAATATTCGTCTTACATTCTATTAGCATTATCTTTTTAAAACATACCCTGGTTACTGCCTAATAAATAAGGGAAACTTGTTTTCACTCCTTAAAATGTTTTTTCATCTGAATGCATGTTAAAGGGTATTTTGCTTTAAAATCATAATTTGAGTTTAGTCACATGACTCTCATGACCGTTTGCCGAATGAAATTAGCTAGTTTAATCAAAGAATAATGAGGAACAGATAATTATCGTCATTGTCTAAATACAAATGTATCTGATAAATATATAAGCCTTTGGATGTTGTCTAATTACAAATGTAGTAAAACCAACAAACAAGGATCACTATGTCTGCATCTTTGTCACAACTTTAGTTCTTCCTGATTCCTCCTACACAGCATGATAGAAGTGAACCAAACTTTTACAAAATCTTTTATAGCAAATGAAGTTGCCATTTATTTGATTTTTCTATGGTTTCCCAAAAGTTGCATAGAAGAACATAAAGTAAAAGTCAATTGAGACGATCACATAACTCTATAATACAGATATGATAGACAAAAAAAACAGAATTACAAAAACTAAATTACACAATATAATCTTGTGAAACTGTTGAGGTTATTTTTCCAATACAAATCTGAAGACATCCCTTCAGGTTGCATTGATCCCCATCATCAGTTTTAGATTAGATATAGGTTGATGTCCACTTAAAACTAACATACCATTTTGTGTAATGTAAGAACAATATGTTAAAAATTTTAAAAAGGGAGTTATGTTGGTTTTATATAAATTTACTGTACCAGTGTACCGGTAGTATGTTCAGATATGACAATTTACCAAAGAAACAACTGTTGACAGATCTTGAAGGACTTCAGTAATTAATTAATCTATCTAGTCAGTATATTCTTTTTAACCTCATGATTTGACACAATCATTATAGGATCAATGGGTTATACTGACCGTTCATTACATAAAAAAACACTTCTTATGATTGTTTTACATTGTTTTCTCTAGAACAGGTCTTACAACATAAATCTTTGCATGATTGTTAGGGCTATTCCATTGAAATGTATGTTGGAGGGTAGGAAGGGACTTTCAAAATAGAAACCAAGAACCATTTTTTAGATAATTTTGCATAATGGTAATAGACGCATACTGAAAAAAGACCCATGACCCACTTTCAATAATTAAACTTCCCTTCCTACCCTCCCACATAATTTTAATGGAATAGCCCTTACTTTGTTAAGGTAAATTCTTCATCATATGTTAAACTCGTTTCAGATTTAATTAAGAACTACATGTATAATTTTCTATAAGACAGGATTGTTTTGCAGGTTGTATTTAAAGCAGTATCACCAAAGGGCATAACAAGAGTTGAACTAGGAGGACCAGTAGGTGGGGCTAGAGAAAGAGTATTTTTATCAACTGGGTCAGAGATCAAAGGTTTTACAAAGAAAGGCAAAAATTTTCTTTCGTTTGATACAAATTTGTCAGAACCAATACAATCAATGTAAGTTTATGGAAGACAACTCTTCAAATAGATAATTACAACGGAGAATGATGTATGAACACATGAATAAATACAGACTGTTAAATAGAAAAAAAATAAACAAATGTACATTTATTTAGCAATGTTTTAAAAAAAACTAAGGACAGGTTTATTTAGAAATCATTAAACAATCAAATTACTTTCAAGCCACTTTTAATATATTTTTCATGAATGCTTAAAAAAAATAAAAATAAATAAAGTTTACAGAACCTATAATACGAAGATAAGGAGATGTGATGTGATTGTCAATGAGACAACAATCCACCAGAGACCAAAAGACAATGATGCTACAACTACAAGTCATTGTACTGCCTTCAAAAATTAAAGAAATCTATACTGTGGATTCATTTATTTTCGTGGGTATCAATTTTCGTGGATAGAGAAAAAAAGACGTTTCGTGGTAAACGTAAATTCGTGGATCGCTGATAACAAAAAAAAAAAAAAAATCCGATACGTAATTCGTGGATTTCTTTTTAATTTAGGAGATCATATACCCTCCTTGGTTTGATCAATAATAAAACAAACAAAAAAGAAAGAATTCATTGAAAAGGTTTTGAATTGTCAAAATCCTCGCTTGGTCATTCTAGGTTAAAGTGTTCATTGAAAACTTCTATTACAATAATGGACAGAGACAACTAATTATTTGTTTGTTTTACAATTTATAAATCTTGTCGGAATTTTATAAGGCATTTAAAACTCTATGATCGAAAGCTCATTTCCCTAATCACGATATAATATATAAGTATAAGTAAAAGGTGTGAAAATAAATGTTCCTGTCATAAATAATATTACCTACGGGCAATATCCCCGCACCGTTAATCCTATTGATTTTTAATCACCAGTAAACCAAACTATGACACGGTAATTAACAACTTGCATTTATTTTCCATGAACAGTTTAAATCAATTTTAAAAAGTAAATTGTCACTGATATTCGATATATTTATTATTGATTTAATCAAAATACTTGTATCTTCTTTCAAGAAAAACACGTGTTATGTTACAATGTTTAGTCAACACTATACTAGAACTGCATAACATAACTGGAAATAAACATCCGACTCCATACACATTTCTCGGGATTATTCTTCGTTGAATTCTTAAATTCGTGGTTCGCTGTGACCCACGAAACCCACGAAAATTGGTATACCACGAATAAAAATGAATCCACAGTACCTTGTTTTAAGTTATAAAAGGCCCCGGAATGACAAAATGTCAAACAATTTAAAAGAGAAAACTAATGGCCTGATATATATACTTAAACAATCAACAAAAACAAAATTATTGCAGATAGCTACTAACTACAACCACTAGCTAACAGGGGCTTTTGACAGGCAAATGAAAAATGTAACAGGGTTAAGCATGGTTGTGAGCTCTCAACTGTCCCTCTTTCCCTGTGTCTCTGCTGTAATAGCACAGCATAAGAACAAACTATAAAATCAGTTAGAAAGGGCTTGACTCATCAGATCTGTACAAAAACAATTAACAAAAAGACAAAAGACAAAGTACCAATCTAAGAGTACTTGCATCTACTGAAAACTAGTTCAAAGCCCAATTTCAGCTAATAAATAAACCATGTTTTCCCAATATCAGTCAGTACAGCTCTAATGGATTTACTGTAATGTCATTTTTCTTTTTCCTGTGATGTACAAAATATACTGTATAGTGAATACTCTGAGAAATTTTGTGATTTTAAAACTATATGAAAAAGACATAGTTGGGCAAAAGTTAAGCCTTAAAGCATACCTACATTATCAATATTTTGTTAATCTGACATATTTCATAATGTTATTACCTCCACTGAAAGATATTGTAATATCATACATAGAATGATAAACATAATTTTTATTTGATATGCACAATTATTTTGCCTGCTTTATAAATATTAAAACCTATTAAAACAGTGTGTATTAAATTACGAATAAGTCATAAAATTTGTCAGAAATACAGTTTGTAGTTTTTATACGCCTGTTTACAGAACGTATTATGGTATATTTATTGACATGAGCTCCCTTTCGATTTTTATAAATTTTAGATTTTGCGTTTCCGAGTTATGGGGTTTTTTCATTAAAAAAAGGGGGATTTTCCAGTTATGGGTTTTTTTTCATTAAAAAAGGGGGATTTTCCAGTTTTCGAACAATAACTCAAAAATGCTTTCAGCAGTTTTCGTGAAACTTTGGTGAATTGTTTATAGCTATTGACGTAAGCTCCCTTTCGATTTTTATAAATTTTAAATTTTACGTTTCTGAGTTATGGGATCTTATTCATAAAAAAGGGGTGATTGTCCAGTTTTCAGACAATATCTTTAAAGTGCTTTGAGCAGTTTTCATGAAACTTTGGTGACTGGTTTATATCTATTAAGATTACCTCCCTTTAGTTTTTCATAAATTTCTGATATGACATTGAGAAGTAATTGAACTTTATTCCTTGAAAAAGCCATAGACATGGACAGGAAGGTGATGTAAGAAGCAACCATGTTAGAAATATACAAAACAGATAATTTCTATATGTGTTTTAGGTATGTAGAAGGATCTGATTTATTTACTTGTGGAAACTATGTATATAACCATTATAAAGATTGTAAAGATACCAACTACTTCTTGTCTGCTGATAAAATTAGTGATGTTCTTTGCTTACCAATGGAAAAGAATGATGATATTACCCCTGTTTTAGCCTGCCAAGACAGAGTACTTAGAGTTTTACAGGTAAAAGAACATTAACTTTTGTAATTATTGCAAGAATAGTGTTTTAGTTTCACCTAAGACAAAAGTTATGGCAACTCCAAGTATCTTTTCTAGCAGTGCAGACAACATCACCAATTATTTAGCTTTATGATTAGATAAGTTTTTAACATGCATGGTTTCTAATTTTCCATTATCCTGTTTATCTGATGCAAATGATTTCTGGAAGATAAAATATAGTTTGATTCTAGCTATTAATATTTAATTTGTCAAAAGCACTATTATTGAAAAATACAAATCAAAGTAGTTTATCACTATGATGTCTTTCAAAAAGGTACATTTTGAATAATTTCATCAATTTTCATACAAGTTGTCCTTATTTTTAACTCACCTGGCCCAAATGGCCAGTGTTTGCTTTCGCATCACTTGGCTTTTGTCGTCCTTTATCATTGTCCGTTAACTTTTACAAAGATCATCTCCTGAAACTACTCTGAACTCCCATACACCAGGTCTACCCCCTTAAAACATTGCAAGGATTGATTGATTGATTGTTGATGTTTTAAGGGCACTTTCAGCACTCTTTGTCCACTGACAAAATGGGTGGAACATACCTGCCATGAGCAAGGTTCGAAAATCACAACCTGTGACAGACTAATGATAACTGTACATTAACTGCTTAGACCAATTAGCCACCGTGGCCCCTTTTAAAAGGATATTTCATTTACATTGTATGATTGATTACTATCTAGACAGAACTGCATTATGTGATAATATCATTGAATTTAATAGCCAAATTGCAAATCCTTTAAAAAAAAAAAATATTTCAGTTAATGCAAGGATATTCGTCCTCTCCAAACCAAATGAATTATGAAGATAATTGTAATTTTAAAATTTCAACATTTGTAAAGTAACATTACAGGAATGATTCTATATATCATTTGGGGCTGCTGAACCAGTATTTGATCTTGTTTTCCTGCTAATAGTAACATTAATGAAAAAAGAAAAAATGCATATTAAAAAATTATACCATCGGAAGAATAGAAACTGCAGTTAAAGAAAATTATGTTAAACTTAAATGAAGTCTCACAGGTTAGATATTTAACACCAAAATGTAAATGTCTGGTGGTGAGATTTAATACTTTCAAACAGACTTTGATGAGTGATAATATTATTTGTCTGTTATAGGATGCTGAGTTGTTATATGAAGTAGAAGTACCAGGTCCTCCTGTAGTATTACAATTATATGGTAAAGAAGCAGGTAATATCCACATTTTCAAAATATTCTATAGACTGATCAAATTTATATGTTTGGTTAGACTTCTCTTTTACTGGCTTACGAAACTTTATAGTAATCATAAAATCATAAGGTACTTTCATTGATAATATGTTTCATTTATTCAAAGTACATGTTTTGGATTATAGTTTCTAAAAAAATGCTACATTTTTATGGTTGGATCAGTTGCTTATTTTTCCTTATATGGCTTATAAATTCTGGCCTTTAGTTGTATCTCAGCACATGAATTTCACACATTGATATTTTACTGAAAATATCTCAACGGTTTACTTGAAAACTTTTGTTCATTCCATGTATGTCTTAAAAACATCACAAAGTGCATTCTTTTTTTTTAATCTTTATAATGGAAACCTATAGACTTATGTTATGGCCTTGAAAAACTTATTTATCATTAGTCAGCAAAAAAAATATGTGACTTTATTATAGACAAAAGTTATGGAGGAATTTGTTACAATGAGGAAAACAGATTAAAAGTTCCATTCCCTATATGTTATGGTAGGAGGAAAATGGCTTCACAAAAAAATACTCATGCTTGTTATTTATACACAATCCTAGACAAATGTTGTCAGAATAATGTGTATAACTGCACTTATTTTGTTCTTGGTTAAGGTACTTGGGTGCAACAAATATCATTTCTTTTGCTTCAAGTGAACCTTATTTTGATGGATAAAATGACAGCACTGTGAAGGTGGCAAAGAGAACAATACATTTTCAGTTTTATATATTCAATAAGAGTGCAGTTTCATCACTGTTTTACATTTTCACGGCACATTTTATGACTCAGTCGCTGAGTTGTCTAGGTAGTTGGTCAACATTTTGATATACAGATGTCTTATCCCTATCACAATTACAGTAGAAGATGTATACTCCTTTCAAGTTACACTGGATGTTCCAATTTATGATGGGGGTTTTCAGCTCATTTCTGATGGTCTGTGGTTTTGCCATGTCATTCCAAGTTCCTTCATACATAAAACTGACTTTTATGAATTATATTAGAAAGAATCATTAAAACAGATCAGACAAACAAACTTAACAACAGTGTTAAATTTAGGAGAGAAAAAGTGTAAATTTTGCCAATTCAGACTGTGTCATATGGAAGTTTTTTTTCATTATACTGCTCAGATACAGATATTGATATGGAATGTATGCCTATCTTTAAAGTTACATATATATGTTTGCAAATTTTTACTCTTTGAATTGATGTTGAAATAGGAAACACCAAATTTTACTTATTTACATTAAGATATAAAGAAATCATTATCCTGTTTTATTTATTATAGATATATCTGATGGAGGTATATATATTGTGAATTACCATTACTTAAAATAACTCAGTTTTAAGCCATGCACTAATCAGCTTGTTATATTTGTACACTTTAATGTATCTCCGTATCCCCCCCCCCCCCCCCCCCCAAAAAAAAAAAGAAAAAAAGAAAGGAAAATGAAATGAAATTCTTTATTAATATATTAAAGCTCTGTTTTTGTTTGCTTTATGATATCAAACCTCAGGAACTCAGAATGTCTTGATATCTAAACTAACAATATTCTTTAAAAGAAAAATTCACCTGCTTTTTTCTGTATTAGTTTCTTCATTTGAATGATCATCTTAGATACACTGAGTGACATTTTCACAATAAGTGGATAAGTTTATCAATTTTCCTATTATTTACTAGTAATAACAAAATCATTTTCCTTACTAGTGAAACAATAGAGCATGATTCAGACTAGAAATCACATTATCTATTGTGGGAATCAAACCTGTGACCTCTGTGAATAGCAATCTATTAATCGACTGAGCTAAAGAACTCCCCTAGCTCAACTGATTTCAGTTGGATAAGCATCTATTGCTTAAGAGAAGGAATCCTGTAACACTTCCCCCACTTCAAGAGTCACCATATCATTATGACTATTCACAACACAATCACTGGCAAGATATCTCCTCTAACCACCTCTGGTGCCAAATGTAACACTAGAGCATGATTTCCACTAGAAAATCACAATGTCTTCTCCAGGGACCTCTGTGTTTGAAGTCAGCACTCTAACTGACTGAGCTAAAGGAGTACTCCCCTAGCTTAACTGATTAATACTGGCTAAGTATATATTACTCAAAGGAAGAAATCCGGTCATTCTTGTTTGAACATCTTGTACTGTTAAACTGCAGAGTTTGATAATACGGATGAATGAATTAAATCTTCTTTTAACACTTGTAATTACTTCTGCATTTACAACCTGTATTGAATTCTCCCAACCGGTAATCAGTACAATGAAAATATGATATGTTTTTAGTCTATTTATTCATGTAATAAAATGTGTTAAAATTACCATAGAGCATGGCATGAAAGAATTATTTTGATTCTAATAAGAAAATTCAAAGAGACACATTCAAACAGCATTTTTTTGGAATTGGAACATGGGTTTGTTTATAAAGTAAAAGCCATATTATAATTAAAATGTAATATCAAATGCAATTTATTTATTTTTTCAAGGGTTTCTTAATTTGTGGTTTTATGCTCTAAACATCACAAATCAATGGATGATTTGCATTTTGTTCGATGATACAAAAATTTGCAAATTTATAGTCATGATAGTGGTGTAAATCCTTTCAAACAAAGCAATTGCAAACTTAAATGACTGTAAGTCATGTAATTATTTCATTTTGTGTTGAAGGAGAGGAAGGAAATGAGATATTATATGGTACATCTGATGGAAGGGTAGGACTTGTACAGATTGGCAGGTAAAACTTATCTATATATCAACTATTTAAAATAAGAGTATTACTTAAGGAAGGCTATCAACCAGTTATCAACATTGATAGAAGTATCTTAGAAAATAAGTAGTGCCTTTTAGCCCTGAAAATCAAATTGCTAAAATTTAAGGTTTGAGCTTTCCTGATGAAAAGCACATGGGAAGCACTTATTTTGTTAAGAGTTATTTTCAGTTTATTAAACCCAGCAAACAAAGTTTGGGGGTATATAGGAATCACCATGTCCTTCTGTTTGTCTGTTTGTCTGTCAGTCTGTCCGTCAGTCCTGCTTCCTGTTCAGCGCTTAACTTTTGAACCTTTGACTCTGACCTCGACTTTGACCTTTGACTTCTTTAAAAGTAAATTCTTGTCCAATTCATGTCCAGTTCATAATTTTTGTACCATAAAACTTAAATCAAACTTGGTATGCAGTTGGATCTTGGCTGGGGGTGTGTTATATACCAAAGTCCAGTCATTTTGACCTTGACTTTTACATTTGACCCCTTTTATGGTAAAACCTTGTCTGATTTGTGTCCTACACATAACGTTTGTATTGTAGAACTAAGGTTGACCAAATTTGGTATGATGATGCAACATGGAATGGGGGTAAGTCATATATCAAAGTGAGATCACTCTGACCTTGACTGGGTTGACCCCTAGCATGCATGATACTAAAACATTGTCTGATTTGTTTTCGGTGGATATTTTTGTACCGTAGCACTAAGATTGACAAAACTTTGTATGCCGAAGCATCATACTGACCTTGACTTTGATCCTTGACCACAATGATAGTACATCATTGTCTGATTTGTTTACGGTGCATAACTTTTGTTCCATAGCACCTAAACTGACAAAACTATGTATGCAGAAGCATCATGGGATTTGGATATGTCAAATACCAAAATAAGGCCACTCTAACCTTGACCCTTGAACCCTTATGCTGAAAGCAATTATCTCAAATGTCATTATCTTAATACTAAATTTCACAGCAGCAACTGAAATGCATGCACAGGATGTATTAGTCTTGCTATGCGGACAGCTCTAGTTTCATCTAATTTAATTGTTTTTACAAGTTATGCAAATCAAGTTCATGTTTGTAAAGATGAAATACTATCCTTTTATGCAATAAGTTCATTCATACTCTTCACCGAAAAAGCTGTAACTTCATTGTTTCTTGAAAACGTTGATGTCTGTACTTACAATCTTTTAAACATATTTTGACAGTTGTCTTTAAAAATGATATCTGATACTCAATGAATATTTTCAGGTTTGCTCCTTCACATAGATGGGAATTACCTAATGAGAAAAGAAATGGAGGTATGATAAGTTGTCAGTTATAATAACTCGCTACAGCCGATATTTTGAGTAATAGAAATAAGTGGGATAAATGTCAAGTCCGTAGTCTTAATTTATGTCATGTTTACTAAAAAGAGAAGATTTCAAAAAAAATAATCATTTTATGCCCTGCCAGTTTCAAGTAGCTGGCTACACAGTGTTTTTTTTTTTGGTGTATCTGTGTGTCTGAACTCAGGTAAGGTTATTGGTTCAATTTAAGGTTAAAGGCAGTTTGATGTGAAACAGGTGTGATAGCACAGTGTAACTTTATAACAGAACACATCAAGATAAGATGTATTAATTTCTGAGTGATTCATCTTTTTTGCCACATATCGTCAGATTCTCTTGACCATGCTATATCTTCAGTTTGAATTAATAATTTTCATATTTATATAAGTTTATGGAACTTTTTACTATTTTTTTAGTATTGTAACAATTACAACGTGTGAAAGCAACTCCTCTGAGTCCAATTTAGAGAAGGCCCTCATAACTTATAGGATTATTTGCCGTCATGTGTACTTTACCACATTATACTACTATTTTGATTTGACCAATTTTACAGGTTATGGAACTTTTATCATTTATTGGAGTATTGTAACCATGTCACCTTGTCATTGTAACATCTCTGAGAAATTTTGACAGAAAGCTTTTATAATATTGGTAGGGTTGTTTGATATCATGTGTTGTTAAACATACGATACCTTCATTTAGATATGACCAATTTTTACTGGAGTTATTGGACTTTTACCATATCTTTACTATCATACCACAATGACATATTGTGACACACAAATCAATTCCTCACTATACAATGGCGGGAACAATTTGCTACATAGTAGCAATCTCGTTATTATATAAAAATGAGGCTAATTTCAAACTAATCCTTAAATGCTAAACATGATAGTTATAGGTAGCACTTTGTAAATACAGCTGTTTAACAAACCACGCCTCTTTTGGGGAGATATATAATATTCATAGATATTTTGTTTTGTTTACGAACTGGTTCCCAGATATGATCTCTATGTTTCATCTCATAGAGACATAACTTGGGAATGTTACCAGTATAGATACACATGGATAGCGGCGAAATTGAATATTGAGGAAGACCCAAAGTGAAGGGAGGGGAAGTACAGAATTTTAGTATAACTCTTAGAAGTTCAGGGCATATAAATGTTGAAAATATGCCGCACAGCCCTATGTTTTGACCTTTGGAAAAAATAGTAGTGCACATGAACTATCTAGGATATTATTTTTTATGAAACTTCATAGTAAAAGTGGCACAGTTTTAGCTGTAAAAGGAGTTCCTATAGGAAATTGCATTGTCTATATTTACCCAAGTGCAACTTATAGCAATACATACACATGACACATTTCAAAACCTAAAGTTGCTTGCAGAAATTTGTTGAGCTTAATGAAATTGCAAATGATGCAACTTTGATTTCATATTGGGTTTACTATTTCAGGAGTTCTTTCCCTTGATAACTTTGATATAACAGCAGATGGTGTTTTAGATCTGATTGTTGGCAGGGATGATGGACTGGTTGAAATATACAGTTATGATGAAGCAGAGGAACCAGTTCAAAGATTTAATCATGTAACTATCAGTGCATGCTATTTCTTGTTTCAGTTTTCTTGTATACCACTATCATATAATGCTTTCATCTTTGTGATAATTCCCTTATCCAACCAGAGACAATGTTGTGGTATTCTTGACCATAAGTGAGGTTTATTAGATTTTAAAGATTAACTTTTGAAACATTATACTTAGACAAATGTTTTATGGTATTAACTGTTATTTTACCCAGTATAAAATTGATAGCAAAAAGGAAAAAAAGTGGAGGTCCTTGTGCCTATCTTTAGCTCACAGCAGAAATATGAATAAAAGGAGATGTGGGGTAATGAAATATCAATGAGGCAGCAACCAAAAAAACAAAAATAACCAAAAGACATATAAAGTGCAAGATATAGTCTTTAACAATGGACTGGTGTCTATACAATTTGTTAAGTTCTGAATCATCCAGAGTCCACAAAAGCTGTGACATTCCAACATTGTAGTACAGGCATTTATTTAATCAAAAGGTTATAAAAGTCTCTTGTCATTTATTTGAACTTATTAATGATAGAAGACTTAGAGTAAACAGCCTTTATTTGTCTTAGGTTTTTATACGACCGCAAAAAAATTTTGCGTTTGTATATTGGTATGACGTTGGCGTCGTCGTCGTTGTCCGAAGACACATTAGTTTTCGCACTCTTACTTTAGTTTAAGTTTTAAGTGAATGGATCTCTATGAAATTTTATCATAAGGTTCAATACCACAAAAGGAAGGTTGGGATTGATTTTGGAGGTTATGGTACCAACAGTTTAGGAATTAGGGGCCAAAAATAAGCATTTTTGTAACTTCCAGACATAACTTGTGTGTTAGTGTATGGATCTCTCTGACATTGTACCACAAGGTTCCATATCACAAAAGGAATGCTGGGAGTGATTTTGGGGGTAATTGCCTCAAAATTTTAGGAATTAGGGGCAAAAAAAGGGGCAAAAAACAAGCATTTTTCTAGTTTCATGACAATAACTTGTGTGTAAGTGTATGGATCTTTCTGAAATTGTACTACAAGGTTCCATATCACAAAGGGAAAGCTGGAATTGAGTTTGGGGGTAATTGCCGAAACATTTAGGAATTGGGGGCCAAAAAGGGGCCAAAAATAAGCATTTTTCTAGTTTCCAGACAATAACTTGTGTTCAAGTGTATGGATCTCTCTGAAATTGTACTGCAAGGTACCATACCACAAAGGGAAGGCTGGGATTGATGATGGGGGTAATTGCCTCAATATTTTAGGAATTAGGGGCAATAACAAGCATTTTTCTAGTTTCAGGACAATAACTTGTGTGTAAGTGTATGGATCTTTCTGAAATTGTACTACAAGGTTCCATATCACAAAGGGAAAGCTGGGTTTGAGTTTGGGGGTAATTGCCCTCAACGTTTAGGAATTTGGGGCCAAAAAGGGGCCAAAAAACACATTTTTCTAGTTTCCAGACAATAACTTGTGTTCAAGTGTATGGATCTGTCTGAAATTGTACTGCAAGGTACCATACCACAAAGGGAAGGCTGGGATTGAGTTTGGGGGTGATGAATCATAAGGGGGTATAAAAAATTTGGGGGGGGGATTTTTTTTTTTTCCTTTTTTTTTTCTTTTAAAATTTTCCATTTTAAGTTGGTTATTTCTGATTGATATTTAAAAGCAAATAATAATGATATTGTAGGAGATACACACCAAACAGGATGTGTAAATTATTATATAATAAGTATTGTGCAATAGCAAGAAATTTTCAATTGCACAGTATTGCACAATAGCAAGAAATCTTCAATTGCACAGTATTGCGCAATAGCAGGAAATCTTCAATTGCACAGTATTGTGCAATAGCTAGAAATATCCAATAGCACAATATTGCGCAATAGCAAGAAATTGTCAATTGTACAGTATTGCGCAATAGCAAGAAATATTTAATTGCACAGTATTGTGCAAAAGAAGATACTTCGTATAAATTGCTTATTTCTTGACCAATTTCAATGGGGTTTTATTCTTGAATTCTTGGGGTTCTTTAGTATGCTGAATCTAACCGTGTATTTAGTTTTTGGATTTTGGGCCCCGTTTTTAAATTGGTCCATATTGAGGTCCAAAGGGTCCAAAATTTAAACTTTGTTTGATTTCATCAAAAATTGAATTATTGGGGTTCTTTGATATGCCGAATCTAACCGTGTATTTAGATTCTTAATTTTTGGTTCCGTTTTCAAATTGGTCTACATTAAGGTCCAAAGGGTCCAAAATTAAACTTAGTTTGATTTTAACAAAAATTAAATTCTTAGGGTTCTTTGATATGCTGAATCTAAACATGTATTTAGATTTTTGATTGTGGGCCCAGTTTTCAAGTTGGTCCAAATCGGGGTCCAAAATTAAACTTTGTTTGATTTCAACAAAAATTGAATATATGGGGTTCTTTGATATGCTGAATATAAAATGTATTTCGATTTTTGTTTTTGGGCCCCGTTATCAACTTTGTCCACATTGAGGTCAAAAGGGTCCAAAATTAAACTTTGTTTTGAATTCATCAAAAATTGAATTCTTGGGGTTCTTTGATATGCTGAATCTAACCATGTATTTAGATTTTGGATATTGGACCATAATAGGTGAATGTCCAATTTAAAATTTTTAAGTTCTTAGACCACATTCATTCTGTGTCAGAAACCTATGCTGTGTCAAATATTTAATCACAATCCAAATGCAAAGCTGTATCAAGCTTGAATGTTGTGTCCATAATTGCCCCAACTGTTCAGGGTTCGACCTCTGCGGTCGTATCAAGCTGCGCCCTGTGGAGCATTTTATTTTTCTTTAAAATTTTCCATTTTAAATTGGTTATTTCTGATTTATATATATATAAAAGCAAATAATAATGATATGGTTTGAATAGGTAAATTAAAAATTTTACAGTTCTTAGACCACATTCATTCTGTGTTAGAAACCTATGCTGTGTCAAATATTTAATCACAATCCAAATTCAGTGCTGTATCAAGCTTGAATGTTGTGTTCATACTTGCCCCAACTGTTCAGGGTTCGACCTCTGCGGTCGTAACAAGCTGCGCCCAGCGGAGCATTTTATTTGTGTATGAAATGTATGCTGTAAACTACTGAAAGTTTTTTATTTGTAGACATTATCTGAGAGTGTTACATCTGTACAAGGTGGATGTGTAGCCACACCAGGGTATGATGAAATCGTCTGTACTACTTATGCAGGTATATTTTAGATATAGTTGTATTGCTGAACAAAGTTATTACTTGTGTTTTCTAAATTCTGTCTAAACAAAATCATGAGATTAAATATAATTCCAATATTCATGCAAATGAGAGGGAAAAATTGAAAAAAAATAAAGTTATTAAGGTAACATTATATAAGGCAACAACAAAAATCTAAATAAAAAATATGGAAATCAAAATAAATCTGTGGACTTTATAATAATTACTTTGTTAAGAATGATAAGTATAATCATCAAATATGTTATTGTATTGATCAGTTTTGATTGTTATCTTCAGGATGGGTGTCAACTTTGACATCAGAACCTCTTATTAAAGAAAGAGGTCCTGATACTTTCTCCCTAACAGCTGAAGGCAAGGACAAAATTGTAGGCCTTAGGTAAACCTCACTGGCCTAGCACAGGGACACTGGCTTATCAGGCTTTACATTATAAATGTCATGGAATAACATTTTTGGTTGAGGTCTTGTCTGATCAAAATGATATCAACATTTGTTAACTTGAACACAAAAGGAATGTGTTATCTGTTATTATAAAACTAGTCTTTGATAGTTAACAATTTGCTGAAAGAGAAATATATAGCTGTCTGTTACAGACTATAGAAGATGAAAATTAAACTTAATGTGTAAAAAATAAAAGAATATCAAATCATTCAAAGAGATTTATTCCATGACAGATTATGCAAGAGTTTTTGCAAGTATATACAGTATACAGAATGTTTGATATCACAGTTCTTAGCACATTTGATGGTGGTTTTGAGATTTTATTCCACTTTATTACCTTTACAAACCCATATCCTCTACCAAACCCTGTTTGATCTATTTATAAGAGTGTTCCCCCTTTTTTATGGCTTATCTGTTAACAAAGAAACCATGGCTTTGTGAGCGACTGTCATTACTTGGATCTTTTTTATTTCCTTTGGTGAAACTTTTTAGAATAAATTTATTTGAAATATCTGCCTATGTGGACCAAATTTTTTCTAAATCATCCTTAGAATATCTAGAATATATCTGACAGCCCAGGATACTGGCCATTAGTATAAAGTTAACAAAGTTTTGAAATATATTTGAAAAATGTGATACAATGAGGCAAAGATCTAAAACAATATTCTAATGATCATCTATTTTTTTCCAAACTAAAAGGAAATGATGTAATTATGATCCTGTTTAGAAAGAATACTTGATGCAACAACTGCCACAAAAATATGACAGATCACTGTTATCAGAAACAAATCCTCTTGGAAAAAAACTATAACTTACATGCACTTGCCAAAAAGATTGTTAATTGAGATTTTGTTGACCCTTATTTTGATGATCTACAAAACTTTAAAAAACATGACCATTACATTACAGATCCATGTATCAGAGATAATTGTTATTGCTGTTTCTTGTTTATCCGTTCCTTACTCCCATACTATAAAACGGAATATTTTTTTCTTGGGCAGTGTTGGTTATTTAGTTTTCTTAGATTTTTATTTGGATACTTGAAATATTTGGTAGTGTTAAGACTTTTTGTTTTAATTATATAGCATCGTTTATATGCATGTGTTCAGTTGTCATGTGACATTAATTGATGTTGCATTCACATTGTTCTGTAACATTCAAAATGGCTTGTTTTATTAATAGAAATGCGTCCTTCTATTCTTTCAACAAACTTTTTCCTTGATGTATTTCCTAACTATATACTTGGAAATGTTTCTAATTTTGTCTCAATATTGGTGAGTCAAAAGATGCTAAAATGAAATCTCTGAATTCAACATTTTTAAATCTTTAATAATTCAAGTTGCATTGGAAAGTACAGAACAATGAGATTTTTGTAAAACTGTTATACTAACAATATATGAGGTATTTGATTATACAAAGTTTATACTCATATAGTCACTGGCAGGAAGGGGTTCGACTCTTGTTTTAAGAAGGTAGATTTAGCAAAGAATTTTTTCAGGCTGGGTTTTGGGATTAACATCTGAACAACAGACAAAAGGTATGGGACCTTCTGAAGTGGTCATTACAGCAGCAGCGACCTCTAAAATTGGTAGTCTCAAGTAGGTTACTGTGTTGGTTAAATGTATATAATTGAAACCTTAGACACATAGTTAAAAAAGTGACATTAACATTTTTATATTAATACTAAATAACTGAATAATTATTGAATATTCAAGTAGTATATATTGTATAGAAAACTGAACACTGATATTTTTTCCAATTAGAAATACATAAATGATGGTAGTAAAGTATGTTTGATTAGGCATATGTCCTTGTTTAAGTATTAATTAGGAAAGAAATTATATTTTTCATTTATATCAGAACAAATTGCTGTCTGTTGATAAGTGAAATTGATGTATATGATAGGGTAGAAGTTGTTATTAGGATTGATGGGCAATAACTCAAACTTAATGGAGGAAAATAATTCAAAAAAATATTTTATGAATAATTAACTATTAAGTATTTTTGATGCTAAAACTTTTGTAGGAGGTCTGAAAATATGGAAGGACTCGGGTCCTCTTTAATGAAGGCTTAAGCTAGATTGCTAGATTAGTGAATGCTTTTCTTTTCAGCAATGCTTCTTAAATGATATAACATGATATTAAAAAACTTTAAAGTATATGTATATCTTTCTATTAAATAACACTTGTAACATCTTTCACACTTGTATAATTTTTCTGTTCTTTAAAGTTGTATAAATAAAAATGACAGAAGTTTATCATATTTTGTTAAAATGTTATTTATATCGTTCTATTTTCAAAAATATGATCAGAGATTATAGATCACCATGATTGTTTACAACCTACTGGCTGTGAAAAATCTACATATTTTGTAGGCTTATGTGAATAGAGAAAAACTAAATGACAGAATCTTAAGACAAAAATATGAGAAGATAGCTCATTACAAAATGCCTATATAAAATAAAAAGAAAAAATTGATTGGCCATACCATTTTCTTGATACATTCAAAATTGAAAAATTAATATATTCCTTTATTAAATTAAAATTATTAGAGTTCTCTCCCCTTTTAAGTCTAAGATTTAAAAAAAAAAGGAATCAATCAAAAGATATTCTGTACAATTTGTATTATTTTGTATTTATATAAACAGTTGTAATAATAAAGATGAAACTACATAATTTTCATTAAATAAATTAAGTCTTTTAACTGTATCCCATTTGATTATTTCATTTAAAATCAAGACTGAAAATTTCCTGCTATTTTACAATCCATGACGGTGGAAGACTCATGTAACACCTTAAAGGAGAACAAGTTTTAGATCAGTTAAAATTATACAAGATGATAATATATGTTTATACATTGTACTAAGATTAATTTGGCCTACAAATAAAATTACTGTGCTTATATATGTTCACATGACTTACTTATACCATATCAGTATTTATTTCCACTCCAACAGTAAATAGCATATTATCATTTGACCTATTAATAATACTCTCAGTTTAAATTGAATTTAAGATGATTCTGATTAGGCTTTAATTTGTATGGAGTTCAAAGCATTAATGTAACTTAACTAACTATACCTTAGATTTACTTACTTCGAGATATAAATTACTATTCAAACTTTTTATTGTTTTCAATGTTAAACAGAGATATATTTTAGTATATGAAACATTTTAGTAATCCAACTTTAAACATTCATCAGAAATATTTTGGCCTTTTTAACTTTTTTGATTCAAGCTTCACTGATGAGTCTTTAGTAGATGAAACACGTGTCTGGCGTCCACAATGTTAATCCTGGTATCTATGATGAGTTTATTGATAACTGTAAAAATATACATTTAGACAGGAACTAGATAATTTACAACAGAAAGTTTCTACAGAGCGAGAGAAATACCAGCAATCAGCAGGCAGCAAGACAGCAATATCAGCAGTACCAGGCTTCAATATCAACGACAAGTTTGTGTTAAACAGAGAAGATGCTAGTTATACACTAAGTCTAGAATTACAATTACCCATAGATAATGTCTTATTACAGGTGAGTCTAGAATTTCAATTACCCATAGATATGTTATAGTGTCTCACCTGTGACAAAAGTTGCAGAAGGTGAGACATAGGTGTTTCTTTTCCTTTGACGTCGTTGTTATCGGCGTCAACAATTGTTTTCTGCTTAAGTATGTTTGATAGCAACTACTTGTGATAGATCAATGATATTTTCCATAAAGTTGCATAACTATCGGTACAATTCAGTTTGACTACTATTTTGAGGCCCTGCCTCTGTAGGTCATGGTCCAGTGACTTTCAATTAATTACCAATTTTCAATGTTAAGTTTTCTGCTTAAGTTAGTTTGAAAGGAACTACTTACAATAGACAACAATATTTTCTATAAAGTTACATTACTGTCTTTACATATTAGTTGTCAACCATTTCAAGGCCCTGCCCACCAGTTCATGGTCCAGCTACTTTGAATTGCTTAGCAATGTTGCTGTCCATCAGATTGTCTTTTTCTAAATTTTATGCGGACAGGCAACATCTCTGTGTCAACAGTTTATTAGATGTAAGATCTAATCAATGTACGCTCTATCTTCATGAAATTATCATTAATGTTAAAATTTCTTACTGCCACTAATTGTACAACAACTCTCTAATGATTTCAGATATTACAGGACAATGGATGTAGGCTTTGGTACATTTTGTATTCAACTGCCTTTAAATGCCAGAAATATAAAACTAATGGTGATGGAATCTTACATGAGGTTTTCATTTTCATTGGGGCAAGTGGTAATAGTTTATCGAAAAAGTAGCTCAAGATGACAACTATTTTTTTTACAAATATAAGTTAAAATGTTACTTAAGTATTTCATTGATATTTTAGAGTGATGTTCCTATAGATCTCTTAGATGTAGAGAAGAATTCAGCTGTGGTCAGCTATAGTGCCTGTAACCCTGAGGTATGTAGTAAATATCTGAGTCAATCACATATGTGTGTACTATTATGTTCAAGGTTTGTGTTGAAGTGTTATTGGTGATATGAGAAAACAGAAAATTATGACATGATTTTTAACTAGCTGCAAATCTAAAATTGTACATGTAAAAAGATCATTAATAAAACAAATGTTTGACATTAAAATGCAGTAATGCAAATGGAAATAAAATGAAATTTGAATTGTTTCCCGTTTAAATTTATCTAAATCATTCCAGTTGTAAAATTGAGAATGGAAATGGGGAATGTGTCAAAGAGACAACAACCCGACCATAGAGCAGACAACATCCGAAGGCCACCAATTGGTCTTCAATGCAACGAGAAATCCAGCACCCTAAACAAATATGTATACTAGTTCAGTGATAATGAACGTCATACTAAACTCCAAATTATACACAGGAAACTAAAATTAAAAATGATACAAGACTAACAAAGGCCAGAGGCTCCTGACTTGGGACGGGCGCAAAAATGCGGCGGGGTTAAACATGTTTTTTGAGATCTCAACCCTCCCCCTATACCCCCTAGCCAATGTAGAAAAAACAAACGCACAACAGTACGCACAGTAAAACTCAGTATAAGAGAAGTCTGAGTCCGATGTCAGAATAGGAAACAAAAGAAAATAAACAAAATGACAATAATACATAAATAAAAACAGACTACTAGCAGTAACTGACAGGCCAGCTCCAGACCTCAGTTAAACTGATTGAAAGATTATGTCTTCATCATATGAATATCAGGCACAATCCCTCCTGTTAGGGGTTTAGTATTATACCGTCATAAATTATATGAGAAGAACATAACCCGTGTCATGTCAACAACTGGTTTTAGAATAAATGTGTTTAATTCCGATGCAAAGACCCTATAAGTGAATCAATATTAAAGCCAAAATATGCAATCTTTAATGACCTGACAACAGTATCGTAACTATATCCCTTCTTGTCGTCGTCATAAGAAATTTAAAGAGAAAACCAATGCTTAGGAGGCCTGATTTGTGTTAAAAAAAAAAATATATGCAAACAGCAACCAACAACAACCACTGATTTACTGGCTCCAGACTTGGGACATGCACTATGAGATTGGGGTGGGGGCTAACCATGTTTGTGGACTTGCAACCATTTACCTGTCCTGGTACAGTGGTGTAATAGTACAACTTCAGAACAAAAGTTGAAAATGTTGGAAAAGGTTTGACTCATCAAATAGGCACCAAGCACATAAAAAAAGACAAAAAACACAAAGTAATAAATTTAATTTAAAGAAGTCATAAACAGTCTGCAAAACATATGGCCTTGTGCAAAGCCAAAATATAAGTATCAACAGGATAAATGATAAAAAGTGTTCATAAATGTACAGTCATACTTTAGTTAGTTATGTTTTAAGTAAATGAAAATGCAATAAATTTGAATACAGATAAAGACAATATCAAAAAATCTTTCTACATTGTTAAAATGGATAACCTTTATGAATAAAATTATTCAAAGGATCAATAAGTATACATGGATCTACAAGTCGTGACTAGCCATAACATTTTATCTTTATTTGAAAAAACATAAACATAAAGATTTTGTTGTGTTGAAAGTGTTAAAATTAGAGCTTTGTTTTATAGGAAGGGAATTATTTATTAGCTACATACAGATGTCAGGCCAATACAACTAGACTTGAGCTAAAGATTAGATCTATTGAGGGACAGTATGGGACGCTACAGGCTTATGTCACTCCAAGAGTACAACCAAAAACCTGCCAAGTCAAACAATATAACATAAAACCACTGTCACTCCATCAAAGAACACATGTGTTTGACGATAACAGGTGGGCCTTATTATAAAAAAAGGTTTGGTATACTGTAGTATAAAAATAAGATGACCTTCTCAACTGTCCACAAAACCCCCAAACGGGGAGAAAAGGAATATATAAACACCTACAGGTCAATATATGGCCTTTAACAATGAGTGATGCCCCAAAAGATGTAGTGAGAGACAACTCAATACCACCAAAAACAACAAATAAATATAATACTAAAAACTTGTAAAGGGTTCTGTAAACTAACAAAAAGACTAAAGACACTAAGCACTGATCTTAGTATACTAACAGTTACTGAAAGCTACAGTCATTCATTTATCAGTAATTATTAAAACTTTGACTCTGGATACTGTTTTTTTATCCTAAAAAAGCTTTGATCAAAGATTTGATTAATTCCATGAAGGTTATTGATGTCTAAAAGAAATTATAAATTACACAAGTAGTACATAGTGTTTGAATCTGTTTGTTCTACCTACAATTTTATGGACAATGGGAAATAACTGAATTCATAATAGTTCCAAGCTTAATACAATGCAGCATTTTATTTCAAGCTCACAATGAAAACTATCTTTAGATATTATAGCATTCATTTTATTTTCACAGACCACTTAACACAGTGAAGTTAACAGGACAGTTCAGCTTAGCAGAAATGCATTCATGGGTCAGTTTTTGTCTACCTGAGTTACCTGAGAGGACCCCTCCAGGGGAAACTATTACATTCCATTTTATGTCAACATTCCTGGACACTCTGTTAGAATGTGTCTACTCGTAAGTTATGTAATACATTGCTTTATTTTTTTGTAAATAAGTCATTAAATAGAATTGTGTTATGGACAATCATATGACATCACTTGTACAATGGCATTATTTGAAAGTAGTACTCATGGAATATTTATGTTGCCAACCAAGACAAATTTCATGTTAATTTCTTGTATTAAATCACTTGTAAGCTGTTAACCCAAAAACAAAACTTACCTGAAGCAAGAGGCTAAGGTTAACTGCTTAGGTAAGAGGGTCTTCTGTTTAAAAAATGTGTGGTTTTGACATAATTAACATTTACAAATACAAGAATGCTGTAAGCAGGTAACTGTCTTTCATAACAGTCCAAAAATGTTGTCCTAATCAACAGTCATATTAATAAGTTTATTATGAAATAGTTTATATAACAGTTGAAATGTTCAGTATTTTATGTAATGCAATATAATGAGCAGTAAAGAAAAAGTTTTTGATTTGATGATACTCAGTTTTGTATAAACTTAGTTTTACTTTCACATTCCACTATCTTCTAGTTGAAGGACATATAGATTACCTTGTTTCATACATCTGTACATCTGTTGACCCAAAATATGTGAGTCCAAATTGGTTAGGTTGCATTATAATCTATTTCTTAGGAATCTAAAATTATCAAATAAACGACTTGAATTGGTTACTAAAAGTGAATTTATGAAACTTTACCTTAGGATTTCTTTTTCATAAACATGCAGTATTTGAATTGTTTTACATTTTGTCATCTTAGGCTAGGGTCTATAATAGTTTACTGTACATTATGGATTTTGTTATTGTTGAAGGCCATACGGTGACGTATAGTTGCCTATATCAACACCATTTGGTGTCTGATGGATAGTTGCCTCATTTGCAATCATACCATGTATTTCGATAGTGATTTGTTTTCACCGCTGCAGTCTTCTTATATACAACAACTCTGTTTGCCAACATTTAGGGCATTGTGACTGACATATGTTTAGGTGCATTGTATCAAAGATATCAAATCGGTTTATGTTGCTAATTTTTTCATCTTTTTAGCACAAAAGTAGGTCATCCACTTTCTTAAATGTTTATTTTCAAAGTAATATGCTGTGACTTAAAGATTTACAGAAACAGTACTGGTAATTTATATGGGATAAAAAGAACCACATTTTGTAGACCATATTGAACAATATGCAGGTTTCCATTTTTTTAATGCATTAAACTTATCTTTTCTATAAGACTGAGCAATTTTCCTTTTACTTTCTTGTATTTTATTTGATTTTGTTGTTGGTTCTCCTAAGGTTGATATCAATTTCTCAATGTTTTCAGGAAAGGAGAAGCTGTCTTCAGATCAGATAACATTTCTACAATATCCATTCTCAAAGATGTATTAACAAAGGAAGCCACCAAGAAAAAAATAAGACTTGATATTAGTTATGGTAGGTTTTCTTTCCCCTCAAATGCCCTGATTTAGGAGAATAAATTTCATTCTGTACATTCAACCCCTTTTGATAACATGTTAAGAGGCCTTTTAGTGATCTTTTAATTGCAAGGCTAAATTTCTGCCACTTCTTTAATAGCATAACCTTCCAAGTGGCAGTCAAAATCTTTCCCTGTCATTCTTGTCAACCCTTAGCTCACCTGTCCCAAAGGTCCACTATGAGCTTCTCCCAACACTCTACTCCTTTGCCCAGCCTCCATTTTGTAAACACTTAAAAAAGAATTATTCAATGAAACCATTAGGCCAATTTCCCCAAAATTTATTTTACATGAGGGCCTTTTTCTAAAAGTCCTTCAATATTTTCTAAAATACACAGTACAATAGACTCAAATGTGTACTTTTTATTCTTAGATACATGATTTTTTTATAAGTTATTGGCTTTGAACTAGCTTTAAGTAACTGAGAGTACTCTCAGGTCTGTATTTTGTGTTTTTGTCTGTGCTTTGTATTGTCATTTGTTCCTGTATATCATATTTGTTTTTTGTTTTAATTTTTTTACATAAATTAGGCTGTTAGATTTCTCGTTTGATTGTTATACATTTGTCATTTTGGGGCCTTTTATAGCTTACTATGTGGTATCGGTTTTGCTAAATTGTGGAAGGTCGTACGGTGACCTATAGTTGTTAACTTTTACATAATTTGATCTTGGTGGAGAGTTGTCTCATTGGTTGTCATACCACACCTTCTTATCTTTATATTTAAGTTTTTAATAAAATTTTAGTATATTTTTGAACATGTGACCAAATTATAAATGTCTAAGAGGACTCAAATCTGCAATTCTTTTTCAAAAATGTATAACAAGGATATCCTTAACCCAAACCAAAAGTTCTGTGGTAAGTTAATCTAAATATAGTTCTTCAAATACAAATTAAATCTTTTTGGTTAGAGATGTCCTATGATGCAAAATTTTACAAAAACATGTAAAATTTGCAATATTATAAAGACCCTTATATATTGGAATAACAGTAGGGTTTAACAATTTACAGATTTTACCATGAGAGAGAAACAAATGCAGGCAAAATTGGCCCTACCTCTTTGGCCAGAATTACTAATTGATAGTCTGAAATATTATCTGATGACCCCTTACCAAACAAACATTTCCACTTTGACTACAAATATAACATTTGAGTTAAATACAGAAATTTGAAAAAATCCTGTAATAAACAAATTGCTAGCAAGCTTAAAGGAAACAATACTTGAGTACCATTTTACAGTTAAATTCTCTGGAAATTCAGTTCTTTACAAATATTTGATAACTCAAAAGTTTTTACATCTTTATTGTAGAGTCTTCTGCTCTTCAAAAAAAACAGATGATTAAGCTCAGTCAATTACTAGAAAAAGCGTCATGTCCAATATCATTGCAGACAGGTTTTTTATTTCTATTTATAGAATTTGAAGTGCATTAGGGATATTGACCCATTTAAAACAGAATAGAGTTAGACCTTATATTAAGAAGATGAGGCACAATTGGTAATGTCACAATTGAGGAAAGAGGACAGGATTGTTGCTTTCATTGCTTTGTTTGCATCAATACTAATTACTGACATGTTTGTTTTGTAGTTCTATTCAAATTTTGTTGTATTTTACAGATATAAATGATGAGTCTATACCATATACTCTAAATCTTATACACCCCAGACTAGAGTACCAGTTACTCTTAGCAAAGAAAGTTCAATTAATAGATGCTTTAAAGGTAAGAAATAATGCTAATCAAATGGTTCATTTTTTCGTGCAGTTTCTGTCATTTTCTGACGATGTCAGGGTCAGTTTTAAAAACTCAAATTTATACCAAACATCACAGCAAACAAATCTATATTGCTGGTAGAAAAGGAACATTTTTCAGGGACTCACACTTGCCTGTCAAAATGGTGAAAGTGGGTAAAATAGTATTTTCCTTAACACATTCCTTGAAATTTCACACGAGGAAAGAAACCTAAAGATTTGGAAGACTTCAAAACAAATGGCATTTATGACTGCATTATAATAAGTCTTGACTGGACAGCTGAATAAAAAGATTTAAATATTTTTGTGAAGAAAAAGTAAATTGACCAACAATGACCTTTAATGCATTTAATTCCTATTATATTTTGACTTATGGAAAGTATTTGTAGACAAACATTATATTTTTGCAGGAGTTACAGGTCCATGAGGAAGATCTCACTTTTATGTCTCCTGAATACAGACAGATCCTTGAGGAAGCTGACGCACTACAGGCTGAATTCAAAAGACAACCTTGCCACCTTGAAAGATTATATGGTATGATATTATTATGAGGAATTTTTAGTGATTGTTTAATTCTTCATTAGTTCTTTTCTCCATGAATTACATTTAACACTTACTAGATATATTATTATAGTCCTATGACCAATGAAATCTATTCTCGTTCTTTATTCAGAATTTTCACATTTGTTTTTTTGGAATAAAGGGGTTTACGGTCAAATAAGGGGTCAAAGTGATCATTCATTCCTGGTACATCTGTTTGTTCTAGTTGTTATTGAAAATGAAAAATTGTGTTTCACAATTTAACAAAAATTTCTATGATACTAAATCAAAATGAACATGGATTAAATTGAAATATATTTGATGGAGCACATTTTTTTATGTATTTATCTAAGACAAGATATGCTGTACCGTTATATAATTATTTTTGTATATTTCAGGTATGATAACAGATTTGTATATTGACAAATTTAAGTTCAAGGGAGTGAATGTAAAGGGAAAAGTTCCAGCTCTGTTAGAAGTACTGGACAATTATGATCTACAAACTCTTGTTGAATTCTTCAACACTTCAGCATAATTATACTTTATGAAATCCTTCTAGAATTTCGAGACTAAAAGTGACTCTCTGGAAATTGATCTGCAATATTGCAGAAGCAGCATTTGTTGTGAGGAATTATAGTTATAAAGAGATGAGACAGTTCATTTCTATTTTGATAATAAGATTACATATACATCACATTATGTGTTTTAATGCAAATTTTGTTGTTGAAATTTGTGGTGTCAGATACCTTAAGTATAAGTTCATTTGCATTCACGTTTTGAATAGTACATTTTTTATCTAATTTTACATATAAAGAAGCAGAAAACAATCTTACAAAACAAACATTGTATTATAAATACAAAAATGTTTTGACAGTTGTTTGCTTTTGAGTATTAATTTAGTGTTTTTGATTTCAGAAACTCTCTCAATAATAAAAATAAAATCAATATTCAATTAGTAAGGTAGTTCATGGTTTCAGAAATCCTCGCCAACTTTTATACTTCATGAATAGTAATTAGTTCTCAATGCATTTAAATTTTTTAATATCTTTTGATAATCATAATTTGAATTATAAAACTGTCTCACTGCAATTAATTGAATTGCTGTACAATAAAGAGTTGTATGAGATTTTAGGTTTGTCAAGGAACTATGTCTTTAATATCAAATGAAAATATTTATACATGACAGAAACTTTTGTATTTTTAGAGTTATGATTTTTAGCTGAGCTCCGTCCATTTGCCGTTGTGTTTTGTATTTACTTGTTAAATTTTGTACATTTTATGTCATTAAATTATACATTAAAATCTGTGTTTATTATCTTTATTTCTCATTGTACTATCAACAGTATCTTTGATAACATTCTTGGGGTACTAGTTGCAGCTTCATATTATTTTGTTGGAAGCAAAATTTTCAGAAAAAAAGGAAAACATGTCTGTTTTAGTCTATATCATATTTTTTATTCAATGACCAAACTTTTACATCAACATTCTACACATTTATGTGTTTAGTTTGGGCTGCTCCTTTTCAATCATTCATTTAAGCATCATTAGAGTTGTTTTCATTTTAGTTGTACTTACATTTCATAATAGATTTCATTAGATTTCATAGTATTTATATTACAATAACAGTAGTTTATATATGCTAATTAAAATAAAGATAGAAGTGCAGCATATATATAGGGCATATGTAAACTACTGTTATTGTAAAATAGTATGGATAAGAGCAAGAACATTAAGTAAGTGAAATTAATAAAGAATATACCTTAAATTTTTTTTTTAAATTGAAAAATGGAAAATAAAAAAGGAGGGTCCATGCTCTAAGCACCTGTGCACAGAATACTAAAAGACTGGAAGTGATTAAGATGTTCCAAATGATGAAATTAAAAATCAACAAATTTGTTCTTGCCATGAACAACTCGACAGGTGCCACATGTGGAGGAGGATTTGGTTACCCTTCTGGAGCACCTTCAATAATCCCCTGATTTTGGTTGGGTTTGGTTTGCTTCGTTTTTGTTTTCTATGTTGTATTTTATAGACTGATGTTTGCCTTTTTGTCCTTTCTTGTTTTTTCTCTGGTGTTTCATGCTTGGTGTTATCGTTTCTTTGAAATGATTTTTGTTTGTCAATTTGGTATATGTATTACTGCCTCTTTTGTTAAAAAGATGGAAAAAGGAGATATGGGGTATATGTAAAGGAAATAGCAATGCTACAATGAAAATAACCAAAAGTTATCTAGAGGGAAACATACCTTCTTTAATAATATTAAAAGACAGATGAAATCATCCTCAGGCTAGTCAACTTTTGGATAATTTAAACTATCAAAGATTTGAATTCAACCCAACAAAACAACAGCAGGAAATGTCAGAAAACAGTTATTGACAGCCTTACCTTTGCACATGTACATGAACTTATGTGGCAGGGTTAAACTAGTTTTTGATATCCTCATCTTTTTGACTAACTAGATTTTGCCATCACTTGGAATCCCTTATCATTAACTTTTTAGCTTAATTTGCCCAAACTTGGCAACAATCTTCATTGGGGTATTTAGTTTAATGATCTCTGATGACCCCGCCTGCCAACCAGTATGGATGACATAGATAAGAATAGAACATACGGGTAAAATGCAAGTTCAGGAGATTAAATGTTCAAAATTATGAGATCTACCTAATGTTCTTTTACTTAAAATTGTAAGACTAATTCTTATATATATAAAGTGCCTGTGCCTTAAATGATGAATTTTACAATTTTTTTCCATCATTTTTATATGACAGCAAAAAATTTTGCAGTTGTTATTGGTATCACGTCGTCGTCAGCGTAGTCCGAAGATATTTGGTTTCAGGACAATAACTTTAGTAAATGTAAATAGAAATCTATGAAATTTAAACACAAGGTTTATAACCACAAAAGGAAGGTTGGGATTGATTTGGGGGGTTATAGTCCTAACAGTTTAGGAATTAGGTGCCAAAAAGGGGCCAAAATAAGCATTTTTCTAGTTTCCAGACAATAACTTGTTGAACGGTGTATGTATCTCTCTGAAATTATACCACAAGTTTCCATACCACAAAGGGATGGTTAGGATTGGCTTTGGGGGGTTATGGCTCAAACAGTTTAGGAATTAGGGGCAAAAAAGGTGGAAAACAAGGGTTTCCTGGTTAATGGACAATTAAAAAAAGTACAATGTTATTTTTTGGATTATGTCCCTTATCAGGCTTTTGCATTATGTATAAAGAAATGTTGTATTGTCTTGAGGTGATTAGCTGTTAATTTATTTTTAGAAGTTACTATTTAAAAATGTTGATTAAGGAATATTAATTTTAGGCATGATTATGTATGTCATTTCTATTTTAAGACTTTTTTATGACGTATTTAAATGGGTAATTATGGTTGCAAACTCCATTGGATATTTGAATTGAGATTATGACCATATCTTGAGGGAAAGATTTTTTTTTTTTGGAAAGGGGGGGGGGGGGGGGAGATGAAAATAAAATTGGGGGGCGGGGTAAAAAAGAAATTGGGACAATTTTTTCTCATTTCAGATTTCAGAAATTAAAAAGATATTTCTTCAAATATTCTTTTTTTTGCAAAAAAAAGGGGGGGGGGGGGGGTAATTGTTTTTTTTTTTTTTTGGGGGGGGGGTTCAATTCGCAACAGCATAGTGTATTGCACAAAGGCAAAAAGGGGGGGTTTGGGTGGGGGTCAATTCGCAACAGCATAGTGTATTGCACAAAAGCAAAAAATTGAATATAAATTCAAATCATATAAACCAATTCTAAGTTCTTTGACTACAGTTATTCTGTGTCAGAAACCTATTATGTGTCAAATATTTAATTACAATCCAAATTCAGACCTGTATCAAGCGCGAATATTGTGTCCATTTTTGTCCCAACTGTTCAGGGTTGGACCTCTGCGGTCGTATCCAGCTGCGCTCGGCGAAGCAATTTATTTCCTATTATCTTGAAAACTATAATAGATAGAGAGAAACTTTATTTAGCAAAAATAAAATATCTACAAATAGTCTTAAGTCAACATGGTTGATATTGTCAGACGACTCCTTATTGGAGTTATAGCTCTTTATTGACGATTTTTACCCATTTTTGCATTTTGCCTTATATTTTGATATGTAGACACTGATCAGCAAGACAAGTTCTACAAATAAGTCAACATGGTTGAAATTGTCCGACAACCCTCTTATTGGTGATATTGCCCTTTAATGACGATTTTTACCATTTTTGCGTTTTTGCCATACAGCTGAAAAACTATAATAGATAGACGGTAACTTAAATAAACAAACACGATCAGCAAGACCGCTAAAGATCTACAAATAAGTTAACATGGTCGAAATCGTCAGTTCACTCCTTATTGGAGTTATTGCTCTTTATTGACGATTTTTACCCATTTTTGCATTTTGCCTTATATTTTGATATGTAGACACTGATCAGCAAGACAAGATCTACAAATAAGTCAACATGGTTGAAATTGTCTGACAACCCTCTTATTGGTGTTATTGCCCTTTAATGACGATTTTTACCATTTTTTTGCGTTTTTGCCATACATCTGAAAAACTATAATAGATAGACGGTAACTTAAATAAACAAACACGATCAGCAAGACCGCTAAAGATCTACAAATAAGTTACCATGGTCGAAATCGTCAGTTCACTCCTTATTGGAGTTATTGCACTTTAATGACGATTGTTTACCCAAGTTTTGCGTGTTTACCTAACATCTTGAAAACCAGACACTTTAAATAGCAAAAATGATTAGCAAGACATATCTACAAATAAGCTAACATGGCCGAAATCGTCAGTCGACTCTTTATTGGAGTTTTTGCTCTTTAATGAAGATTTTTACCAATATTTTGCGTTTTTGCCTATATCTTAAAACTAATAAAGATAGATAGAACAGATTTGCTAATAAGTCAAATTTGCCCCAAATCGTAAGTAGACTCTTTACAGCAATGATTGCCCTTAAATGACGATTTTTTACCGTTTTTTGTGTATTGGACAGAAACTGAGAAGATAGAGAGAATCTGTAAACAGAAAAATGATCAGCAATGCAAGTCAACAAAAATAGAATTTATGAAATTTGTTCTAGTCTACAATGTTGAAGAGCGTCCAATGCACATAGACTTAGGTAATCGACACAAGCTCTCCAGAACCACTAGCTTTAAAATATTCTCCTCTGAAACTACTAAACCATATGTGACCAAATTAACTTGAATGTTCCTTAGGATATCTTGTTTTAAAAAAAAATTATCCAGGGATTTGATCCATTATAAAACGTGGTTACTGCTTCTAAAAATAGAACATAAGGTAAAATACAGTTTTTGGCTTTTATCTAAAAAAAAATTAAGCATTGAGAGTATAGATGATCAGCAGATCAAGGTCTATCTCCTCTAAAATTTTCAGAAAAATTGGACAACTCGTTTTGGAGTTGTTGCCCCTGAAATGTCTTTTTTGTTGTTGAAAATTTCAAAGTTTTTGGCTTATATCTCAAGAACTAAAACGGTTAGAGCAAAACTGACAAAGGATGAAAATGTTCTGCAGGTTAAGGTTTCTCCTGTGCAATTCTCCGTGTCATTTTTTTAGAACATTTCAGAGCTTTAGGGGTATTATCTTGAACAGTAATTTAGATAGAGAAAAGTTTTAAACAACAAAAACGTCAAGAACAATAAGATCTATGAATAAGTCAAACATTGATGAAATAACCAATTGACCCCTTATAGGAGTTATTGCCATTGAAAGAAAACTTTAACATGTGTGCCTTTTCTTGTAGATACTATAATATATTGAGAAAAAGTGAAAAACAAAATTAGTTAGCAAAATAAGATCTGCAAATGAGCTAACATGGTAAAATCGTCAACTGAACCCATATAGGAGTTATTGTCCCTTGAAAGATGATTTTACTCATTTTTATAGAAACAATAATAGATAGAAACTATGAATAAAAGAAATGTTCAGCAAAATGAGATCTATAAGTGCACCAACATGATCGGAATTGTCAATTGACTCTTTATAGTTATTAACTTTAAAAAAAAAATGTTTTAACCTATTCTATGCAGAATCCATAATAGATAGTGAGAAACTGTAAATATCAGAGATGTTCAGCACAATAAGATCTACAAGTAAGTCAGCGTGGCTGAACTTGAATTGTGAACTGACTCCTTATAGAACTAATTGCCCCTGAGTAAACATATTTACCCATTTTATGTATTTTGTTTATAAACATTTATAGATAAAGAGCAACAATATACAGCAAAAATGCACAGCAAAGTAAAATCTACTAACAAGTCAACATTTTCGAAAT